CCCCGCACCCACCCTCTCCCCCGCCACACTCTCAATCCGCATAGGGCGATCCTCCCGAAGAAAACAACCAGGAAAAGAAACAAGGGCTAATTTCGCGCAACAAGGTTAAAATAGTATCGAAGGGGGGGGGGGGGGGTAGTATACAAGGGAGGTTATGGTGGTGGGTGTGGGTGTGGTGGGTATGGTGGTGGGGCGTGGTGGTCGGAACGGGGGGGAGGGGGGGAGGAGGAGGACGCCAGTCGCTGGATGACCTTTGCTTGGTCATGCGCTTGTCAAGCATGTGTGAAGTGGTTGATAGCGAGGATGAGCAAGCGACAAGAGAGGAGGGAGGGGGTGCATTGGTATGCGTGACATGGGTTGAGGTAGGCGTATGTCAAGGCATGGACTCATGTGGCATGGGTGGGTGTGTATGGGCTGGGATAGGCAAGGTCTCGCAGTTCAAGCTCGTTCTCCTCGGACAGGCGGCAGTGGGCAAGTCCTCACTTGTGCTTCGGTTTGTCAAGAATGAGTTTCAAGAGTATCAAGAGTCGACCATCGGTGCGGCGTTCTGCACAAAGACGCTTAATCTGGAGGACTCGTCGGCCGTGATCAAGTTTGAGATCTGGGACACAGCCGGCCAGGAACGGTACGAGTCGCTGGCGCCGATGTACTACCGTGGCGCTCACGCTGCCGTTGTTGTCTTTGACATCACCGACGCCGAGTCGTTTGACAAGGCGCAAAAGTGGATCCGCGACCTCAACCGGCAGGCCAATCAGAACATTGTCATCTGCCTCGTTGGCAACAAGATCGACCGTGACGACGAGCGCGTCGTCTCCACCGACCAGGCTGCCGGCTACGCCGAGGAGAACGACCTGCTCTACGTCGAGGCGTCGGCAAAGTCGGGCACCAACGTGACGGAGGTGTTCCAGGCCATTGCCGCAAAGCTCCCCACCGCACCCAAGGAGCCCGCGCCCTCGGGCGTCGTCGAGCACCTCGACGAGGACCCCTCGGCCGGCCAGAAGAAGGGCTGTGGTTGCGTTGTCATGTGACCATGGTTCACACACACTCTCTCTCTTGCGCGCGCGCGCTGCAACAATTACCATCGCTTGCAGCCTGCTCAACCCCCTCCCGCCCAGTCGTCATGAATAACACACGACCGCCCCAACCAACATCATCTTCAGTCGTATTTATCATCATTTTCATCGTCAGCCTCATCAGCCTCAGCAGCCTCAGCAGCATCAGCAGCCTCAGCAGCATCATCGTCCACGCACTGCCATTCAAGCACCCCAATCCGTGTGAGTCCACCGCCTCACACGACCGCCGCCATCTCATCACCGCCGTCACAGACACGACGTCGCATCAGCAGATAGATGTTTGTATGTTTGGTTAGCCTCCATGACTTGATTGTCAGACCATAAGGTTAAAGGTATACATCATTTGCTTCGCCTGTCTCTGCTCTCGTCCATCCCCCCCCCCCAGCATCTCACACAATATGACGTACCATAAAAATCGATAATCCTCCCCTCAAACACCCACGCCCTTTCCCCGCCTGCAACCCCCTACCCCCTCTGCAACCCCAGCCCTCCCGTCCCCACCCCCGCTTCTCCACACCCTTTGTCCTCAACGTCTCCCAAACCTCAAACCACACACCGCCACACACACATCACCCTCTCCACTGCCCAGCGACGCGTCAAGTGGTGCTTATCGTGATGCCAACAATTTGCTCATCAATCAAATTGAGCATCACCATTCGTATCATTTTGGGAACGAGTGTGCGGCGGGGAAAAGCCCGTACCTGTCACCGCCAACCCTTGCCCAGAACGCACCTATCACCACCATTAAGACCAAGGACCAAATGCCACCACCATTACCAACCTCTTGACAAGTGTCTCTGCTGCCGGATACTTCAGACCATAACCAGGTGGTGATACAGACGCCATTGTCTCCGGGGAAAAAAAAATGAAACAGAATAGAAAAAAAACGGAAACGTACCTTGTGATGACAATGCCAACGTTGGCTGGGTGCCCGTCAGCCGAATTGGGAGGGGGGTAGAGGGATGGCGCAAGAGGTAGGTATTCCCCTCTCCACCACCCCATCACCACCACCCAGACTTGTGTGCGCGCGCGTGTGTGTGTGCAATATGGGTGCATGTGTTTGGAGGTGGTCCATGCTGCTGGTTGTGGTGCTTGTGGCAGGACAATGTGCGGGGGCCACGGTTCGGACGGCTATTGGTAGCCCCGTCAGCCCGTCGTTCATCACCACCATGACAGTTGCCGACGACAGCATGGACGTGAATGACGTCAATGTTCAGTTTGCACTCTCAGCAGAACAAGTAGCTGCTGTTGCCTTTGATTTCACCTCGAATTCATGGTCTTCGTCTACTTCCCTCATTCATGTCCTTCGTACCACCGCCACAGAGCTCCGTGTGCAGAGCGTTCAGTCAACGGCGCCCTTCTTTTCTCTCGCCATCGCCTTTTTGGACATTGATGGTCTCGTTGATCCTTCTCAAGACTTTACCGCAACCTATTGGTCGACATCGGGTGTACTGGATGCCGTGCCAAAGTCATCTCCTTACGTAGTCAATGTTGCCCATACCTCGGGTGCTCCAGGCGTGCTTTCATCGCCTGTCTTGTATGATCTCCTGCAGGATGCTTGGGACCAAGACGCGCTCTACCCCAATGAGAGGCTCTTTCTCCACATCCAGCAATCTGGCTCAAACTGCGCCACAGGCGACTGCTCCATCCCGGTCTCTACCCTTCCTACTCTCACCATCGCCTACTACGAGGTTTGTCCCCTCGTCGATCTTGGCCCTGGCACCGTCACTCCGCATCCGGCCACATCCGCCGCGTATGCCCCCGTCGGCGATACGCTCAGCCTCACCTGCAATGCTGGTATGACGTTGTACAACGCCGACGGCTCCAATAAGGTCACATGCCTCGCCAATGGCGCCTACTCTCCCGGCACTCCGTACTGCGCCCCGCCGCCGCCGCCGCCGCCGCCGCCCTCGCCGCCGCCGCCGCCGCCCTCGCCGCCGCCGCCGCCGCCCTCGCCGCCGCCGCCGCCGCCTTCG